CACCCATTCCTACCCCTGGCGTAACCTTTGCTGTTAAGTAATCTTGCAGGCCACACCAAGAGGCGAAGCTAAAATAAAGGTAGTGCATGATTTACAACAGTGGTGCATTTAGTGACCGTTTGGAAGTTACAACCAGCAGTGAAAAAAAGTGACTTATGAAACATTTTCCACTGATGACCGTTGCAGCATCCCAGGGTCATGTGATTTAAAATTCAGATGCTTGGCAACTGGCATGTATCTGTGACGGTTGGTAACCGTCACGTGATCCCTTTTGCGACCCCCTGATGAGTCAATGGGGAAGCCAGATTCACTTAACGGCGTCAAGAAAGGCGATAAAATGAGGCAAAACCCGCTTAACAACTGTCTCACTGAACCACAGAAAATTGGGGGTTCCGTTGTGGCCAAAAGTGAAGGATTAACCTGTAATTTATGCCGTTTTCCATTGGGTTTGGGATACAAGCCCGGTGGTTTTTGCAAGGGAGGAAGAACTCCACAAAATTTTATTCCCAACGGTTGTAAGCAGCTCCGATTTATACAGGCGTTGTTTTTCAAGCAATTTCTTTTAATGCTGCAGGGATTAGACATTCAGCTTTGGTTAAGCGGAGCGGAAGGACGGTGGGTTTCATGCTGACGCGTGCAGTTTTGAAAGGGGAGATTGAGGCAGATTGTTTTTCTTCAGGCCTGAAGTTTAGAAATGGGGATATAAATTCATAAGCTCCTGCTTCTAGGGTTCTTTCTGCCACTTTTAAGGGTCTTATGACGGCGTCCCCCCAACTTTTGGGGCACCAGGGACCGGTTCCACGGAGAATGGTTTTTCTGCAGGCCGGAGGGGGCCGTGGTTTAGCGTGCTGCCTGCATCTCACGGATGGGGCTCTTTGCTTGTTTGTGTGGCCTGGTTGCTGACATGCCACGGACTGGGGGTTGTGGACCCCCGTTTTATGAAATGCCAAGAAGTGCTTTTATCCAGCTCTCTACTCAATCCTAACCAACTGGTTGACTATTTGTGGCTCAGGTAACTGTTTTCCACATGCTCGTGCCCTACAGCTTGGCTCATTCAGGATACGATGGCACTGGAGAAATGAGATTTATGACCGGTCCTCATTCTTACAACCATCCCAGCATCCCCACGGTCATGTGCTAAAAAAATTGGGTGCTTGGAAACCAGCATGTATTTTACAACGGTTACAGCATCCCAGGGTCACGTGATCGCCGTTTGCGACCTTCCTATCCTGGTTCTGACAAGCGAAGTCAATGGGAGACTCTGGATTTGCTTAGTAACCCTGTGATTCACTAAAGCAACTGCAATGATTTGCTTAACAACCCGTGGTAAAAATGGTTGTAAAGTTGGGTACCGCTCACAGCCAGTTTTCTTGCTTAAAGTGGGACTAAAACAAACAGCTTCCTGGTGATAGGACCAAAGTCACCCAACCGCTTACGGTGGAACTAGAACTCGCTGTCTCCTGGTGGTTGGTTCAAAGTCACCCAGCCGACTTCCATCCTTAAGGTGGGACTAGAACTCACTGTCTCCTGGTGGTTGGTTCAAAGTCACCCAGCTGACTTCCATCCTTAAGGTGGGACTAGAACTCACTGTCTCCTGGTGGTCAGCCCAAGTCACCCAGCCGACTTCCATCCTTAAAGTGGAACTAGAACTCACTGTCTCCTGGTGGTTGGTTCAAAGTCACCCAGCCAACTTCCATCCTTAAGGTGGGACTAGAACTCACTGTCTCCTGGTGGTCGGCCCAAGTCACCCAGCTGACTTCCATCCTTAAGGTGGGACTAGAACTCACTGTCTCCTGATGGTTGGTTCAAAGTCACCCAGCTGGCTTTCACACCTAAGATGGGACAAAGAACAACGGAAATTCTGGCCGAGGTTGTGGTCATTAAGTCAAGGACTACATGTAAATGAAGTCAACGGAAGGCACATCCAGATTCAGAAGCCGGGATTCCCGGCTTCTCTGTCGAAGGGAAAAAAAACCCAACTCGGCAAGAAATTTCATACCTGGCATCGTGAACTAATCATGTTGAAATGCCAGGCTACCTGCTGACATCTCAGCTGAGTGGCCACCTTTGAGCATCAGGAGTGCAACTAGGACATAAACGCAAGGTGAACACGGATCAGCGCCTCACTGCCAACCTCCTTAATTATCACCAGTTGCTTTCTCCCTGCTTGCAAAATTTAGTCAGGCAATCAGCTCCGGTACGTGCCCCTGGGTTGCAGGTCCAGCAGGCCTCAGCTGGGATGGCTCAAACTTGTGTTTTAATTAAAACGCAACGAAGCAGATTGCAAAATGAGCGAGGTGGGGGGCCTTTGCAGAAGTCCAGAAGATCAGTGGTTGACCATCGAGGGATCCCTGTCCTTAACTCACTGTAATTTTGAGAGGCCTGCTACGATTGTGTGACTTTACATTTGCCTAAGGCATGCAAGGATCCTCCAGCCAGCCTGCACAGGTTACAGACAGTCCTAGATTTACAGTCGTTCGTTTAGCGACCGTGTGAAGTTTTCCAACAGCCCTGAAAAAAAAGTGACTTAGGACCGTTTTTCACACTTACGACCACCGCAGCATCCCCCCCAAGGTCACGTGATCAAAATTCAGACGCTTGGCAACTGACTCGTATTTATGACGGTCGCAATGTCCCGGACGGGGGGGGTGTCACGTGATCCCCTTTTGCGACCTTCTGACGAGCATAGCCAATGGGGAAGCCAGATTCACTCCACGACCGTGTTCCTAACTTCACAGCTGCAGCGGTTCCCTTAACAACCACGTCACTAATTTAACAACTGCAGCCGGTGTGTTACAATCTGCTTAAGCTGTGTGTAGCTTTCATAGTTTTCTTTAAAGTTTGCTTCCTGCTTTTTTTCTCCACGAGTTTGGATGTTCCGTTACTTGACAAAATGGAAGCCTGCAATTTTATCCTTGCTACTCCTCGTCCGAGTCCTTTTTTGTCGGCTCGCGCAGAAGAACGCGGCTAGAAAACAGCGTGAGCCTGATAAAATATCGATCCCGGCAGCTTTTTTTTTTTTTATAAGGGGGCGAATTCAGCCACGGCAACGGTCTTTGATGTACTGCAATTTCCTTCAGGGGTTTTTCAGGAAATTGGAAGAGGCAGCGAAGGGAGAATTGCTCCGCCAGCAAAAACCATCATCGCTTCGGCGAAGAGTCGCAAAATGCTCTGTATTCAAGTCCCTTCTCTTTCCTTGCTCTGCGTTCGATGCAGTGAACTAGACCTCTTTGAGATTATTATTATTATTTGCCTTTGAACAGTTGGAAAAGAGGCAACTGCTCTTTCCGGAGCTAGCGCTGAGCCTCACAAAAAGCTGGGTGATGATTTGATGATGAATTAACCTGCAGTTAATTGATCCATGTTGTGCAAACTCTTTTTGGCTGTGTCACAGGAAGCAGTTTCAAAAAAAACAACACAAAAACCCCTCCAAAAACGAGAGTCAGCAACTTAGATCGTACAAGGCCCGTAACTGGGCAATTTTGATATGCCAGAAGGATCAAATCTCCGTAATACTTTAGAGTTTGATTAAAGCAGTGGTTCTCAACCTTTTTAATGCCGCGACCCCAACCGGTCGTAAGTCGAGGGCTAAACCGGTCATAAATCGAGGACTAAACCAGTCGTAAGTCGAGTACTACCCAACTGGTCGTAAGTCGAGGACTTTCCCTGCCCAGGAGTGCCACGCATGCGTGGTTCCGCCCCCTGCGCCGGCCGAGGCGTAGCTGGCAAGCGGCAGAGACGGAGCAGGCCGACCACCAGCTGGCCCAGCCCAAGGGAGGTAAGGCACCCACCGGAAAAGGGGAAAAAATGGCGGACAAAAAAAAGGCGGACAAAAAAAATGGCGGACAGCCTTGCTTGGCGACCCCCGTGAAATGGTCGATCGACCCCAAATGGGGTCCCGACCCACAGGTTGAGAACCACTGGATTAAAGCATTGCATTTGTATCAGTAATTCTTTTTTTTTTTTTTTCCCCTGGAGACACTGAAGAGGATTGAGTTGGAATAACGTTAACCAATAACCAGAGAGTGGTTCTAGAAACCGTTTTTTTTTTATAAAGTCTACCTATGTTAAGAATTCAATATTGGTGTACATTTATATTAACAGAATATTTACATGTTGCTTTCTTCTGTTGCTGTTTTTAAAACAAGAAGTCAAAAAAAAAATCTAATTTTTTTTCCATAATATAAGGCAAAAAACAAAACAGTTTTTGTACATTATTATTAATTATTATTATTAATTATTTTTTTTAATATATATATATCTGTAACTTCAATTTCAAAGTACCAGAGAAACCGGTGGCCTTAATTCAGGAACCTCACAGTGGACTGTATGAAACTACAGTTATCTCCATAAATAATACTTTTAAGAAACCCTGGATGTTTTTTTTTGTTTTTTTTTTTACTTAAGGATCTGAGGCCACAAAATTTAAACTAGAAACAAAACCTTCTTTTTTTCTTTTCTTTTTGTGTGTGTGTGTGTGAACAAAAAGCACAATTTTTTTTTAAAAAAACAATACATTCATTAAAAATGTTCCTGGCATTTGGGGTAATATATATATATATGTGTCTATATATATATATATATACACACACACATATATATATATGTATACATACACACAAAAACCTGATAATAGTTTAACTCAGCACAGAAGCAAAGAGGGAGAAAAAATAAAACCAGGAAACAAGGAAAAAAAAAATCAAGACCTATATATTAAAATTTCCATTTTTTTTTCCAGCAACCGTGCAGTCGGAAGGTTTTTAACCTCAGATGCCCCCTTCCACGCCTCCCCCGGTCCCCTCCCCTCCATCGCTTTTTGCAACTGTGCTTCATTTCTACAAATTTTTACAGTTGTAAAAAAAAAAGTTTACAGCAGTGCATTTAAAAAAAAAATATGGGGGGTGGGTGGGTGGTGTGGGCGCTTCCCCCCGTCCTCCTGTATTTTACAGGTGAGTTTGGAAAAAAAATTCATCCTGCAGGTAGGTGGGGGGTGGCAGGAATTATCGTGCTTCGACTTCTTTGGGATTTTTAGAAGGGGAATAATCCCGGGAATCCGGGTTCGTGAGTGGCGTAGTCCGACGGGGGGAGGAGGGTCTCGTATTACTAGCTGGGACCAACGGGGGTGGGGCGCTGAGCGCGGCGGTGGGCGGGTTCCTGTTCAAAATCCCGTTGTGCATGGCGGCCGAAGGGCTGAGTCTGGGGTAATGCATGCCGCTGAGGTGAGACATGAAGGAAGGCATGTGGGCCAGGTGGCTTTCGATGGGGGACGTGTGCAAGTGGTGCATTCTGGCACGCTCAAGTTCTTCCCGTAAGTGCAACCTCTCCCTCTCTTCCGCTTGCCGGAGCCGCTCCTGTTCCCGGCGGGCTTCCAGAAGGTTCTCGTGGTTGTAGTCGTGGGGCTCGCGGTCTCGGTAGGAGCGCTCGTGATCGTAAAAGCCCGAGGTGGTGGGAAACCTATGGATGGGATCGGCTCGGAGCTGGAAGTCCATCCGGCGGTGGAGGTCTAAGCTCCGGTAGGCGTCGCGCAAGGGGTCCCTCATGGGGTCCCAGGAGAACCCTGGGTGGGGTAGCCTCTCCCGTCCCGTGAGCGAGTTCATGCTCATGAGCGGGGTCATCATCCGGCTACGTTCCAGAACGTTCATGGTGTTCATCTGATGGACGCTGCTCATGGAGATGGGCATGGCGGCGGCCATGGTGTGGGGCAGGGGTAACCCGTGCAAAGAAGGGGGCGGCGGGTGCTCGGTGCCTCTCGGATGCTGTGAAGATTCTGAACTCACAACCAAGACGTCGCCTTCCTCTTTACGCTCTTCTTTGACTTTGATGTCGTTCTTGATCTTCTGGAGGTCCGTCAGAAGCTCCGGCTTCCTCTCCACGTCCTTGTTCATCAGGTTGCTGAGTTTCAAGCTTTCGCTCAAGGCAGGTTTGCTGTACGGAGAGACCGACTGGATTACCGGCTTGGTGTTGTCCTCCAGGGATCTCTTTTCATGGCTTGGAGGTTCCTTCACGGGGGAGCGGCTTTCTTTGATCTTCTGGTCTGCCACCGGAGGAGGATCTCTGAGCCGGTCAGGAATCTCTCTCTCCAGATCTTTCGATCTGTCTCGGTCGAGGAGGGCAACTGGCCGGGAAGAATCGCTGGCAGCCTGGCTGTTGCTACGGATGAGGTTGCTGATCTGGTGAGTCATGGGCGCGGAAGCGGGCGAGGATCGGTTCGAGTGCCTACTTTTATCCAGAAGATCCCTGGAGGGAGAGAGATTGGAGTCTATTAGGGTCACATGTAACCATTTTGCATTATAATTCAACAGCATGGGTAAAACTGGGTTTACCAATTACATACATATATTAAATATGTATATACCGTGTGTGACCCAAAAAAGTTCACCTAAGGTGACATATTATTATTATTAACACTACTGTGGTGGATGGATTCACACCCCAGGCTAAGTTGCTTTAGTAGCGAGATGGACAGCATGAAAAAAAAGAGAGGGAGGGAGGGAGGGAGGGGAGGGAGAGAGGAGGAGAAAAGAGGAGAAGAGGAAGGTGGAGAGAAAAGAGAGAAAGGGAGAGGAGAGGAGAGGAGAGGAGAGAAAGAACATGGAGAGAATAGAAGAAAGGGAGGGAAGGAAGAAGAGAGAGAAGAGAAGGAAGGAAGGAAGGCAAACAGAGAAGTAGGGAGGGGAGAGATGAGGAGAAAAGAGAAGAGGAAGGTGGAGAGAGAAAAGGGAGAAAGGAAAAAGAGAGGAGAGGAGAGAAGGAAGATGGAGAGATTAGAAGAAAGGGAGGGAGGAAGAGAAGGAAGGTAGACAGAGAAGTAGGGAGGGAGAGAGGAGGAGAAAAGAGAAGAGGAAGGTGGAGAGAAAAGGGAGAAAGGAAGAAGAGAGGAGAGGAGAAGAGAAGGAAGATGGAGAGATTAGAAGAAAGGGAGGGAGGAAGAGAGAGAAGAGAAGGAAGGTAGACAGAGAAGTAGGGATGGAGGGGAGAGAGGAGGAGAAAAGAGAAGAGGAAGGTGGAGAGAAAAGGGAGAAAGGAAGAAGAGAGGAGAAGAGAAGAGAAGGAAGATGGATTAGAAGAAAGGGAGGAAGAGAGAGAAGAGAAGGAAGGTAGACAGAGAAGTAGGGAGGGAAGGGAGAGAGGAGGAGAAAAGAGGAGAAGAGGAAAGTGGAGAGAAAAGGGAGAAAGGAAGAAGAGAGGAGAGGAGAAGAGAAGGAAGGTGGAGAGATTAGAAGAAAGGGAGGGAGGGAGGAAGAGAGAGAAGAGAAGGAAGGAAGGTGGACAGAGAAGGAGGGAGGGAGGAAAGAAGTAAGTAGGTACTGGGTGAGTTCCCACAGCACACCGTACCCCCAAACCACGTACACCAGTCCAGTTTTGCAAACGTCCCGAAAGCACCATGGCTTTTCAGCAAGGCGTCCCCCTCTCTCTCTTACCTCTCCTTCTCTCTCTCTTCTTTACTTGAGGAAAGATCCCTCTTTTCAATGTCTCGGTCCCTGTCATGATTCGTCACGGAGGAACTCCGCTCGGAGTCGCCCGGCTTGGGCCACTGAGGCGGCGTGGGAAAAGAGGGCGGCGTCCGGTGCAGCCGGTTCCAGGGCTCGTGGGGGCTGCTGAAGCCCTGGACCGCCGGTCCATCTTTGTGAGCAAAGAGGCTGCTGTGACCTGCGAAACGGAGACAGATTGCGTTAGCTCCTGGATGCCCTCTCGGTTGGACACGCAAGGACGTTTAGTCCGATATTGGCTTTTGCAAAGAAAAAAAAAAAAAGGCCAATTATTTTAAAGCACCTTTCTCTTTTTTTTAGGTCTGGGAAAAAAGAGAAAGGGGAGGGGGAGGAACAAGACCCTTGGAAAGAGCAATGGTGAATCAGCTCTGGTGGACTGAAAAGGAGCCATTGAAAGCAGGCAAAGAAAACCCTTGAAATCTGAATAACCGCTGGGAGGTAATGAGGCCATTTTGGTCTAAAAGATTCCAGGTGAATCCCAAAATCACGCTGCGCCCCGCTGTGACATCCGGAGCTAAACTGGGCCTATTATGGTGACTCCTCCCGAGGCGTATTGTGAGAACGCGACTCATTACACAGGATCAGCTGCCTAGCAGATAAAGCGGTGATTGAGATCTTTGATTGAGGTATGAATAGGCTGAGCAGAAGTAGAATAATTCAGATCTGCAACGCACGTCTCTCTCCTGGTTCAATCATCAACGCAGAATTCTGTGGGGTCCTTGGTGCTCTCTGAGCTTGCTGGTGTTCTTGCAGACGTTTCATGACCCAATTAGGTAACATCCTCAGTGCTAGACGGGAGTGGGGTTTGCTCTCTCTTCCACTCCCTTCTAGCACTGAGGATGTTGTCTAATTGGGTCATGAAACGTCTGCAAGAAAACAAGCAAGCTCAGAGAGTACCAAGGACCCCACAGTCCTCCTCCTCCTCCTCCTCCTCCTCTACTCTGCAAACCCCACTCCCTTCTAGCACTGAGGATGTTACCTACTTGGGTCATGAAACGTCTGCAAGAAGACCAAGCTCAGAGAGCATCAAGGACCCCACAATTGAACTCTGAGCTACAAAGACTTTCTTTTATCGGTACTCATAATTCTGCTGGCCACCGAGCTTGGCGTTCCCTAGTTGTGGTGGGAATGCCGTTCCCAAATCCCTAACAGGAACAGGGTACTGAACTGGCCAATGAACAATTTGGGGAGTTCCCATCTCACTGCATCTCAAGACGTTGAGGAAGGTGACGTAGCTTCCTTGAAGGAGAACATTATCGACTTGGATGTCTTTTGTATTCGTGACAGGACCCTCCAAGAATGGACAGATGATGGGCTTTGTGGCATGATAAACTAGATGCTTTTGTAAATTAAGACAGTGTTCTGGTCTTAACAAAAATGGCAATGTGTGCTCCGCTGTCTCTTTGGTTGCACTAACTTTCCTTCCAAAAAGGTTCACCACTTCCAAGTGACTTCTTTTTCTAGTGTTATGAGCCTCAACCCAGCTGGCCTTCTCTCCAGAAAACTGGGCCTAGTTAAGGAAACCCTCGTAACATCTCACGGTGCTAATGACCTCCAGGCTATTTTTGGAAGACTCAAAGAACGCTGGAACAGCCCCTACTTGTGCCCGAGTGGAATTCAAGAGTGCCAGTCTATGTTTAGCTATTCTTTTCTGGATACAACAATCGGGACATGCAGTTATTTCCCAAGGACCACGTGAACCACTCAGGAATAAGAAGGGTGGCTGGGACACCTTTCCATCAGCCAGGACCGCGTGGTCTGAAGGAAAAACAGAACGTTCCAGTGTTCCCTGGCGTGTTCTGTCTTCCCCCTTCGTACATTTTGCACATGCTTGCATAGGTTATGTTGGAAAGGATGAGAGAGTAGAGCGCAAGCTTTTCTACGTTCACACTTCTATCCTGGGATCACTAGATCCTGACTGGGCAATGAGATGTCCTCCAGATATCAGCCCCCTCCCTAATCAATCTCACTCCAGCGGGTCTTCTTTTTCAGAAAGCTCAAGCCAATGAAGGAACAGGTCTCGGCAGCTCAGCGTGGTCAACGGCAAGGACAGTCCAAAATATCGGGGTGATCATCCAGTTTTCCCCCCACCTCCAAAATGGAATCGAGAGAGACTATTGCCTTGACCAAAACCACAGAATTGATCCAATCTAATATGCCTGCAATTCTATGATTGCTTGAAAATAGTCATAACATGCAGGTTCTTTGCTTGTACTTCAGACACACACACACACACACACACACACACACAGACAGAGAGACACACATAAAGAGACAGAAAGAGAGAGAGAGAGACAGAGAGACAGACAGACAGACAGAGAGAGACAGACAGACAGACAGACAGACAGACAGACAGACAGACAGACAGACAGACAGACAGAGACAGACAGGGGTGTTGGATTAGAAGACCTCCAAGGTTCCTTCTATTATTCTGTTATCTGTCTGTCTGTCTATCTATCTATCTATCTCAATCATCCATTAGCTATCATACATATTCTCTCTCTGCTATCATCTATCCATCATCTAACTCTATCTATCTATCTATCTATCTATCTATCTATCTATCTATCTATCTATCTATCTATCTATCTATCTATCTATCTATCTATCTATCTATCTATCTACCTACCTACCTACCTACCTACCTACCTACCTACCTACCTTTTTCATTCATTCATTCATTCATTCATTCATTCATTCATTCATTCATTCATTCATTCATTCATTCATTCAATTTGTATAGCTGCCTATCTCAAACCAATGAGTCCAGGCAGCGATCAATAATAAAAACAGTGAGAACATGACACACAAAGAAATTAAATACAAACAGCAGCCACGAAATATTACAATCTATTGGTATCATCGCCACCAGATAACGGGAACATTCATGCATTCGGGACTCCAGACCTGGGCACATAAACAGGTCTTCAAAAACCTTCCAAAAGGCCAAACGGGGTTGGGGCTATCCTAATCTCAAGAGGAAGGATGTTCTGGAGCGCAGTCTAGGTCTCAGAAGAGACACACTTCCTGGTGCCCACCAGCCAACATTCCTTGGCTGAGGGGAATGGAGTATGTCCGTCCTACTGGACCAGACTGGACAGGTAGAAATGACTGGAAGGGCAGACAGTCCCTAAGGTAGACCCTGTCCCAAGGCAATGTCTTATGTCCTCTTACCTCAACAATGATGCCATTCAGTGGGTGCTATGGGCATCTGCCTAATGTGTCTACGGAGATTCTCAATCTTCCAAGTCATGGTGTTTTTTCAGGAGGCAACTGGATTTTCTTGTTATTCTTTGAAGATGTTTTGCTTCTCATCCAAGAAGCTTCTCCAGTTCTTGGATGAGAACTGATTCAGTTCATGAACTGAAGAAGCTTCTTGGATGAGAAGCGAAACGTCTTCCGAGAAAAATCAAGAAAGCCCAGTTGCCTCTTGAAAAAGCACCTTTGGGACCTTCCTGATACCTTCTCAAAGCTCCTCCTGCAAAATGGTAGATCCTGAAGAACCCACTGAAGCTACTTCCTCAAACCTTGGACTCGAGACACCCCGCCCCCAAAGGATGGTTAATGGGGAGGTTCATGGTTAATTTGTTGGGCTCTCCCTTTTCTATGGAAGTCACCACTCCTGGTGGATCTGGGACATCAATTACGGAAAGTCCCCTACGAAAACTCGGCATATTCGTAGCCTCGCTCCTTTGTTTGGGGGAGGTTCTGAGAAGCTTGCCTTGCTTCAAACAAATGGCCACCGGCTGCTTTCGACAGGAACATGGGACTTCTCTGGGAAAGAGGCTAGTCTGCAGGAACCCATCCGTACTTACTCAAAGTATGACTGCCTAATCCGCCAAAGGCATTGCTGCTTAAGTTTCCAAGGCCGCTGAAGGTGCTTGACCTGCTAAACGGATCTGGAAAGGCAAACAGGGGTTTTAGCCGGCATTTAGCCAAGAATGCTGGAAGACTAAATCTACCCCCTTTTCTCTACCCGCCCCCTTGTTTATTTCATGGTTGGAATCCAAGCGGGATTAGGCCGGGCTTTCAGCTAATCCTTCTCCCCGCGGGCCCTTTGCGCAGGGACATTCTCAACGGGTTGAAAACGGAGAGCGGATCGGAGGACTTGCCAACATGGGAACAGGTGCTGGAGTTAAGCCTGCCGGGAGGAGAGCAAATGTGCGAGGCCGGGATGACTAAAGGCAGCCCCTGAACCGAAATCTGAGCAGCTCAGATTTGCGAGACCAAAACAAGAAGCTGGAAACTTGGCTTCTGGTGGGACGTGTTATGGAGGACCCACCAGGAGGAGAAGACCTCGTGATGAAAACTCCGGAAGGCACAATCGGGACATTTGAGATGCGCGTCAATTTCTCCTGCCAAGCGAGACAGTGGCTAAGTGACTTTTGCCCCATTTTACGACCTTTCTCGACGCAGCTGCGAAGCGAATCGCTGCGGCTGCGAAGACGGTAAAGCGGCTGTTGAAGTGAATCTGGTTTCTCCATCGAGGTTTGCTGGCCGGAAGGTCGCAAAAGGGGGAGGGGAGATACGTGACCCCAGGATACTGCAACCATCGTAAATACGAGTCAGTCGCCAAGCGTCTGAATTTTGATCACGTGACCACGGGGATGCTGCAACGGTCGTAGGTGTGAAACACCTGTAGCTTTGAACGGTCACTAAATGATTCCTTCTCTCTCCCCTGGCCCCCTTCCTGGCTGTCTTGGTTTAATTACATGTCGTGGGCTCCAGGAGCAAGAATTGGACCGAATCTAGAAATGACATTTGCGGGTGGCAGAGGACAGCGGCATCACCTTAAACCACATTCTTGAATTAAAATTATATCCTTGTAGCGCCTACCTCTTCTCTATCATTTTTAAGTTTGATCTGCACTTGGAGGCTCAGAATCGACTAAAAGACCCCTCGATCCCAAAGAACAAAATTCGACTGGTTTCGGCAGCACAAACAAGACCCGCACAGGTGTGCGATGGGGAGTCACGGCCGAAGCTCCAATTCTTGCTCGTGAGCGTAGTAGCCTCGCTTGACCGGCTCAAAATAACAAATTGGAGCTTGTGAAAATGAAGACCGGGTCCTCTCCGGGAATAGACCGATTAATAATTTAATTAGGCCAGAAGGATGACTCTCCTAAGCTTCATTTAAAGCCAATCCAGATGGTTAGGGCCGGGGGTTGCGCGCCTGATGAAAGTCTGTGAATTATGTCACAGAGACTCTGATCTACTTCTCATTAAACGGCCAGCTGGGTTGAAACGGACACTTCCCCCCCCCCTTTTTTTTTTTACAAGCTGCATCAACAACTTGCCTTAAATGTTTCTGGATTGCGGATTAATTATTTTGTCCTCCGCCTTTCCTAACAAAGGTAGTTGAGGGTTTACCATTTGCTAAGTGCCTAGCTTGCCCCCAAATTGCCCACCCAAAGAAGCCAAACACAGTTTAAAGCAGAAGGGGTGACCTACAAAAGGGAGGGGTGACCTGGTTGAAAGTTGGGACGTCGCCTCTTCAAATCTGGGTCTCCCTCTTGGGAGAAACTCAAACGTTGCTTCAGAAACACAATCAGGGTTTTCAGATACTGCTTTTTCCAATGGCAAATAAATCCGTTTCATTTAGAAGGAAGTTTTTTTTTCCCCCCCATCCACACCCAGCTAAGAGGGTAATTTTCTTCGGATCCTGTTCTATTCTAAAATCTGATTTATAAATGTAGGAATGTTACGTAGCAATTGCTCTTCCGGTAGATAAAATTATCAACACACCAGTCTTCTACACACCAGTCTTCCTTTCCCTTCCTAGGTCCTGATTGCAATAGCAATAGCACTTAGACTTATATACCGCTTTACAGCCCTCTCTAAGAGGTTTACAGAGTCAGCCTATTGCCCCCCAACAATCTGGGCCCTCATTTTACCGACCTCGCGAGGATGGATGGAAAGGCTGAGTCAACCTTGAGCGGGTCAGGATCGAACTGCTGGCAGTCGGCAGAGTTAGCCTGCACTGCATTCTAACCACTATGCCGCCAGGGCTCTGATGCAGGAGAAGTCAAGGCTTATATCAAAGGACTGGTAAATCAGAAGAATAAGGTTTACTTACACCTACCTGCCAAATGGCTGGTGGGCAGGAAGCTGCTATGATGAGGCGAGGTTCCGAATGGAGTGGAGTTTGGATGAGCAGACCCTGCAGCAACAACAATCACAACCGCAAAATAAGCTTGTAGCAGCATCTGAGACTCGTCTTTACAGCCTGGTAACTTAGGGAAGATCCCTCTTGAGCTTCTTGCTTGACCCATTGTACAGCGGAGGGCTATGCTATCTCTTATCTGACCGTTCCATAGGCGGCCTCTCTTCCCTCCATCTCCCAAGGTCTTTCTCACAAGCATTACAACCACCTCTTTTACAGCCTGAGAAACTAGGGAGGGTCCTTTCTGAGTGTCTTTCTCCACCCATTGTTCAGCTCTGGGCAATGCTGTCTCTTATCTGACCGTTCCCTAGGCAGCATCTCCCAAGGTCTTTCTCACATGCCATTATAGCTGTCTCCTTTGCAGGATGAGACACTAGAGAGAGTCCCTCCCAAGTCTCATGCCCCACCCATTATGCAGCTCTGGGCTAGGCTGTCCCTTTTCGGATTATTCTATAGGCAGCACTTCTTCCCTCCTCCTCACAAGGTCTTTCTCATATACTATTACAGCCCCCTCCTATACAGCCTAAGAAACTAGGGAGGGTCCCTTCTGAGCATCTTTCTCCACCCATTATGCAGCTGTGGGCTATGCTGTCTCTTATCTGACCATTCCCTAGGCAGCATCTGTTCAGTCTGTCTCCCAAGGTCTGTCCCACGTATCATTACAGCTCTTTGCTTTATAGGATGAGAAACTTAAGAGAGGTTCCCTCCTTTTGCCCCACCCCTTATCCAACTGTGGGCTATGCATTCTCTTATCTGAACGTTCCCTTGCCAGCTTCCCTTCACCCTGTCTCCCAAGGTCATTCTCACATGCCATTACCAGAGTGAATCATAACAAAGCATTTCCCCCTGCCCAAGGACCCTTCTCTGCCATTATTTCACCCCTCCCTCCATCTTGAAAACCCTTGCTGAGATTCTGAAGGTATTTTGAGAAGGTTGGAGAAAGGGCCAGGCTGCCCTTGGGACTTGCTCCCGCGTGGTCTCTTCGCCATCAGAGGATCTGAAAGTGACCGTGAGAACTGGTTCTGAACAACTCGAAAAAGAAATTGTGGTCTCTCTCTCTCTCTCTCTTTCATTTCTCTCTCTCTTTCTCTCTCTTTCGTTTCTCTCTCGTTTTTCTCTCTCTCTCTCATGTTTCTTTCTCTGTTTCTCTCTCTCATGTTTCTCTCTCTCTGTTTCTCTCTCTCGTTTCTCTCTCATTTCTCTCTCATGTTTCTCTCTCGTTTCTCTCTCTCATGTTTTTCTCTCTCTGTTTCTCTCTCGTTTCTCTCTCTCTTTTCTCTCATGTTTCTCTCTCTGTTTCTCTCTCTCGTTTCTCTTTCTCATTTCTCTCATGTTTCTCTCTCTCTCATGTTTCTCTCTTTCTCTCTTCTCTCCCCCCTCCCCCCCTCTGTGTGTGTGTGTGTGTGTGTCTTGGAAGCAGCCCTGGAGAATGGCGCCCATTGTTATCGATGTACTTTGCCACTTGCAGGTCTTCCTTGAGACGGATGGAGGCTGTCATCCCACAAAACCTTTAGGATATCAGAAGGTGCATAACAAATGGGTGATTCCTTCAAAAGAGACACATCTTTCCAACTTGATGACCCCGGGGCTGATAATCATAAACAGGAGGAAAGAAGAAGAGGCTTCCTCAAGAGTAAAACCAGGAATGTAGCCGTGGGTTGTCAGGGAGCTATTAAACCCAATGTTTGCTTGCAGCTGTACATCCATCCCAGGGACAAGAGAATCTGGGATAACTTATGTTTTCGGTGGTAACGCAACAGCCTGGAGAAGCTGCGTTTCTCACTGACTGTCTTCCCGCTCAACAAGGCCAGGAGGAAGCCTCGGATGCTGGAAATCCAGATTTATGCTTCCCTCCGTTGAGTCACACCACGTTTGTTCCGCCTCTTCTCTGCCTGTAGCCAACTTCATTGAGATTTACCGCCCAGTGCATCTTTGGGTATTCACACATGGAGAGGAATAATTTATAAGCCACACGGGGCTCCGGGTTTTGATTCTGAGAAGGTATTTTGGAGCATCGGGAACACACCTGCCAAACTCATTAAAGATCCCGTATTTGTTTCCTCGAAGGAAACAGGAGTAGGCACGTGTGCCTCAACGTCGATTTTCCTCACCTGTGCTGGAGAAAAGGGGTCGGGCAAGATCTTGAGAATAATGGAAACCAGGAAAGACTCCGGGAGCCGGCGGTCTACTGAAGAGGTCAAGTTTTCCGCCGATTTCGAGTTTGTGGGGATCCAGCTGCATCTGCTGTCGAAAGGAAAGGAAAGGAAGAAAGCTTCATCATCCATTTCCATTTTCTCGGCTTGGTGACGTACATGTTGGTTACAACCTCTCCGTGTTTACCCACTGGGTTTAAAACCCACTGGCAAAATTGCTAACGACAGTCCTGTAATAGGGAAGCCTGTTCAAAAGCCAAATTGAGCCGTGCCAGTTTTTCCTTGTGCCTACAAAAGAGTAGATCTGCTCCTCAAACCATAGGATCAAAGGATCCTAGGATCAAAGGATCACTCTCTAAACCCTTCATACGGGAAGCCAAGTTCCATGAAAATCAGAGGAGAACCTGCAGCGATTCAACACGAAGTAGACTGGGCCATTTGTTCTTTCTTCTCTCCCCTCCCCACGCCTTGTAGTGACTCAACTAGAGCAGTAAATAATGCGGAATGAACCACTGAACGAAAACAAAAAAGGGATTGTGGTTGATCACACAATAGGGAGGAGGGTGTCAAAGTGACTTCCTTGACGGTCGACCTCTCCTATCCAAGCTGTAGTTCTGCAACCACCATCTTCACAAAACATCTGGGCGTTGTCCCACCCATTTACCAAGCGCCTTCGGCAGACAACAAGCAGCCACAAGGTGTTCAGGTGTTGACTTCTGTGGTTGGGGCTAAAATTCTGAATTCTGCCATTTACACCGACAGATGTGCTTTCGTTTCTCAAGAGTTTCTCCCTCACCATAGTAAGCATTCTCTTAACGTCTCCTGATGAGAGATGTCTCAGTTTTGGAGAGGCTACTACCACTAAGTCTCTCTCTGCTTTACTCTGTTATGTTCTCCAACCTATAACTCTACCACAGAAGACGTCCAAGCGTCTTCTAATATTTGAGGGGCAGTCACAAAGAAGAAGGGATGACCTATTCTCCCAGAGAGGTCAACCCCTCTTCTCCTGTCCCGAGGAGAAGGACAAGAAATGACAGATCATTAAACAGCGATACAACCTAGAATTAAGGAGAAATCACTACAAGTGAGAACAATTAATCAGAGGAACAGTTTACTCCCTGTTCTTCTGGTTGCTCCATCACTGGATCCTGAATGAATATACTCGATTACCTTGATCTTCTGTTGGTGATGGTAGATCTGCCAAGCAATCTGCACGTGGACTGCACACCATTTTCCAGGCTTCTGTAACAAAACAAGGACCCGGGTTTTAATTTTAAACAGCAGTGGTGTCAACTGCTCGTTCCTTTGTGTGCAACTGACTACGGGTAGTGCTCGACTTACAACCAGAATTAGCAACAGTTTCTGTTGCTAAGTGAGACATTTGTTCAGTGAGTTGGCAGTTAATTCATATTCATGATGGTGGCAGCGTCCCGGGGGGGGGGTCATGTGATCCCTTTTTGCGACCTTCTGACAAGCAAAGTCAATGGGGAAGCCAGGTTCACGTAACAAGCGTGTAAGTAACTTAACAACTGCATTGATTGTCTTAACAATTCTGGCAAGAAAGGTCTTAAATTGGGGAAGTGAATCTGGCTTCCTCATCGACTTTGCTCGTCAGAAGCTTTAAGTGGGAAAATTGGTCGTAAGTCACCTTTTTTTCTGTGCGGTTGTAACTTCAAACGGTCACTAAACAAACTGTAATTATTTTGATTCGATTTCAAGGCTGCCCTAATGTGTACAAGGAGTCCTCGACTTACAACGATTCTTTTAGTGAAATTGACAATGGTTAGCTAGACACGGTGCCTGCTGCAATCTATAATCTCGCCCATTGTCAGATCTTCGGCTTGGTGCCTCGCTGGCACCCTGCCATCAACACGGGGAACAAATGGGCAATAAAGCTGTATACATTTATTCATAGGAAATTGGGGGGGGGGACTGATGGTTGGAGGAAGAACAGAGCATTTTGGAATCTGATCCATGCTGACGTCTTCAAGGCCGCGTCCCTTGAGAACGGGATTTCACCAGCCCAAACACCTCAGCACTTCCCAAAATTTCTTGACGGTGCCAGATTGGGCACACAGGGACGGGCTATGGGGAGAGGGCTGGGAGGGCACCAAGGGTTTAGGACCAAGGAGTCCGATTCGGCCTGACTCAACTGCATTTAGCTTCTCTTAGTAAAAGTGCCTTTTCGCTTCAATCAAATGGCTGAAGTTTTGATTTTCTAGGACAGGGGTAGGCAACCTTGGCTCTTTGATGACTCGTGGACTTCAACTCCCAGAATTCCTGAGCCAGCCATGCTGAGGGGAAAGGGAGAGGTTTCCAAGCTGAGCCAGGCTGGCTCAGGAATTCTGGGAGTTGAAGCCCACGAGTCATAAAAGAGCCAAGGTTGCCTACCCCTGGTCTAAACTAATAAAGTCTACATTAATTAACATTAATTATGCTTTCATATGTTCCTCTAACTGAGGGGTCTTCAAACTTGGCTCTTTTATGACTCGTGGATTTCAACTCCCAGAATTCCTGAGCCAGCCATGCTGAGAGGAAAGGGAGAGGTTTCCAAGCTGAGCCATGCTGGCTCAGGAATTCTGGGAGTTGAAGTCCACGAGTCATGAAGGGGGCCATAGTTTCCCCATGCTGGCTCAGGAATTCTGGGAGTTGAAGTCCACGAGTCATGAGGGGGCCATAGTTCCCCCATGCTGGCTCAGGAATTCTGGGAGTTGAAGTCCACGAGTCAAAAAAGAGCCAAGGTTGCCTATCCCTGTCCTAGGAGATCAGACTGGGGTGTTCTTTTAAGAGAAGCATTACGAACCATCTTTACCCATGTCATTTCCCCCCCCCCTCAAACTTTAAAAATAAAAAGTAGATTTAAAAAACAAACAAACCAAAAACCCTGACAAACCTTACTTACTCGTACAGGAGCCCGATAGGCGTCGGACACCTAGGGAAAACATGAGGGAGAAAAAAAACAATCAAAATTTTATGTAATCTGGACTATGAAAGGGAAATGTTAATTCAGGGTGTGGAAAAATATCAGGGAACCAGCACGAAAAGTGCTGCTTTTTTATTTCAGCATTAAATTGCCTCAAGATTTAGAAAACAAGGAACTCTTTTTAAGCTTCCAGTCTGTGCCTTAACTCGGAATTCAGACCTGCTTTAAAACGATCTAATTTTTCTCTCTTCTTCTTTTTTTTCTCCTCTTCCCGGCAGAATTAACATTTCCCTAATTTTGATGCTTGTGCCTCGAAAAAGAACGGTGGGGCCCGGTCCACAAAAGAAGTGCAGGAAGTCCTTGACGTACGACCACAAGGGAGCCCAACGTTTCTGTTGCTAAGTGAGACCATGAATTTGTCTCAGTGAATTTTGCCTCATTTTACCATCTTTCTTCTCACAATTGTTGAGTGAATCGCTGCGGTTGTTAAGCTAGCCACATGGTGATTAAGGGAATGTGGTTCCTCCATTGACTTTGCTTGTCAGAAGGTCACATGACCCCAGGACACAGCAACTGTCTTGAGTACATGCCAGTTGCCAAGCGTCTGAATGTTGATCAGGTGACCGTGAGGATGCTGCAACGGCCGTTAAGTCTGGAAAAGGTTCGTAAGTCACCTTTTTCACTTTGAACGGTCACTAAATGAACTGTCGTAAGCCGAGGAAGTCCTCAACTTACAACTGTTCATTTAGTGACTGTTGGAAGTTAGAACCGCACTGAAAAAAGTGACTTAGGGCCGTTTTTCACGCTTAGGACCTTTGTAGCAACCCCATGATATTGGGATCAAAATTCAGAGGCTTGGCAAGTGACTCATATTTACGACGGTTGCAGTGCGAACGTCTGACCAGCAAAGTCAATGGGGAGACCAGATTCATTTAACAACCGTGCTACTAACTTAACACCTGCGGTGATTCACTTAACAAGCTTGGCAGGAAAGGTCTTAAAATGGAGCAAAACTCATTTACAAATGTCTCCCTTAACGACAGAAATTTTGGGCTCGATTGTGGCCGTTAAGTCGAGGACTACCTGTATATGTATATTTTTTTCTGCTGCAAATCAAGGCCAAAATGAGTTCAATAATTATCCTCGGTAGGTTAACGTTTATCCTATGTCAGCCCCAAAGAGGGGGCTGAAAGACACTCACTGGAACTCGACACCTACCCCAGGTGTCTTCTGCAGGAGCGTGTGGTGCACTGTGCTAGGCCTGCTGGCCACATCAATGGGATTCGAAGTCTAGAAGGACAAAAATGAAAATGTCAATGAGTTTTCCTTTCTAGCAACGCTTCGACGCGATGCTAGCAAACAGGAAGGAACTAAGATGATCCAAGGCCTGGAGACTCAAACATCTGAAGAACGGCTGCGGGACTGGGTTTGGTTAGTCTAAAGAAAAGAAGAAACAGGGGAGACATGATATCAGTCTTCCAGTATTTGAGGGGCTGCCACAAAGAAGAGGGGGGGGTCACGTTATTCACCAAAGTACCAGGGCAGGACAAGAAACAATGGCTGGAAACTGAGCAAAGAGAGAAGCAACTTGGAATAAGGAGAAACTTCCTAACAGTGAGGACAATCAACCAGTGGAACAGCTTGCCACCAGAAATCATGGGCACTCCACCACTGGAGGTTTTTAAGAAGAGGCTAGACATTCACTTGTCTGAGATGGTATAGGTCCTCCTGCTCGAGCAGGGGGCTGGACTAGAAGACTTCCAAGGTCCCTTCCAGCTCTACTTTATTCTATTTAGATGACCTTGAGCAATATTTTGAGTTGTCGCGCAACGTATCGGAGCTTTTTTCCCCATTGCCGGCAATGGGGTGGGCGCGGTTTCCCGGTGACGCATCCGGCCTGGGGGCCAGCAGTTTGACACCCCCTGTAGTAGGTTATAACAACCGAAGCTTGAAAATTTATCTGAATTTCCTTTTGTCTTTTCTTATACAAACAGAATTCCCTTTGTCTGTTCTTCTACAAATGGAATCCAAGTGCGATTATTTTACCTACCTACCTAACTACCTACCTACTTTTCCTTCTTTCTTTTTCTCTTCCTTCCTTCCCTCCCATTGTCCTTCCTTCCTTCCTTCCTTCCTTCACTCACCCAGCCCGAATATGGTGGGTGGGGAATTCTGGGAGGTGAAGTCCACAGATCTTAAATGTGCCAAGGTTGAGAAACTTGTGCGAACTAAGGTCCAAGTTTTGATGGCTCCTTTCTTTTCTCTTTTCTTTCTTTCTTTCTTTCCTTTCTTTCCTTTCTTCTTTCTTTCTTTCTTTCTTTCTTTCTTTCTTTCTTTCTTTCTTTCTTCCTCTTTCTTTCTCTCTCTCTCTCTCTCCTTCCTTCCTTCCTTCCTTCCTTCCTTCCTCTCTTCCTGCCTCTCTCCCTTTCATTCTGTCCGTCTTCTTTCTTTCTTTCTTTCTTTCTTTCTTTCTTTCTTTCTTTCTTTCTTTCTTCTTTCTTCCTTTCTTTCTTTCTTCCTTTCTTTCTTTCTTTCTTCCTTTCTTTCTTCCTTCCTTCATCAAAGCTACCTCAACAACCTTCCTCTTCCTATGTGGCATTGCCTTGTTGAATGACTGCAACGGTCAACCCAAGTCCTTCCAGTTTTGCCTCTGGAGCCAGTAATCCCTGGAATCCAGTGCCAGCTTTTTTTTTTTGAATGGAACGAGGACTCGGGAGTCAGCCCACTCACTCTTCCTTGCCCTGGCCCAGCACCTGTTTCCCTCCCAAGAGGAGAGCAGTTCAGTTTCCCTAGATGTTAAAGCTGCAAGACAAACCAAAACACCGGCCGTGTTTTCAAAGAGGAAGCCTTCTGGAGTGGCCCCGTCACAGGTCAACCACGAGGGACCAAGGATGGTGTTTAAAAATTGGCAGGCTGGGGAAAGAAGGGCTGGATGAAGTCTCCCAAGCCGTGGGAGTGGTAGACCTTCCGCCTCCATCACGCCCTGATCAGACCTCCTCCTTTTCCAAGTTTGACGGAGAGGGAGGCAAAACATAACAGCTGCGATGATGCATTTTAAGGTCACGTTACATTAAGCGTGTGNTCTTGACGGTGCCAGATTGGGCACACAGGGACGGGCTATGGGGAGAGGGCTGGGAGGGCACCAAGGGTTTAGGACCAAGGAGTCCGATTCGGCCTGACTCAACTGCATTTAGCTTCTCTTAGTAAAAGTGCCTTTTCGCTTCAATCAAATGGCTGAAGTTTTGATTTTCTAGGACAGGGGTAGGCAACCTTGGCTCTTTTATGATTTGTGGACTTCAACTCCCAGAATTCCTGAGCCAGCTGTGCTGAGGGGAAAGGCAGAGTTTTCCAAGCTGAGCCAGGCTGGCTCAGGAATTCTGGGAGTTGAAGTCCACGAGTCATAAAAGAGCCAAGGTTGCCTACCCCTGCTCTAAACTAATAAAGTCTACATTAATTAACATTAATTATGCTTTCATATGTTCCTCTAACTGAGGGGTCTTCAAACTTGGCTCTTTTACGACTCGTGGACTTCAACTCCCAGAATTCCTGAGCCAGCCATGCTGAGGGGAAAGGGAGAGGTTTCCAAGCTGAGCCATGCTGGCTCAGGAATTCTGGGAGTTGAAGTCCACGAGTCATAAAAGAGCCAAGGTTGCCGATCCCTGTCCTAGGAGATCAGACTGGGGCGTTCTTTTAAGAGAAGCATTACGAACCATCTTTACCCATGTCATTTCCCCCCCCCAAACTTTAAAAATAAAAAGTAGATTTAAAAAACAAACAAACCAAAAACCCTGACAAACCTTACTTACTCGTACAGGAGCCCGATAGGCGTCGGACACCTAGGGAAAACATGAGGGAGAAAAAAAAAACAATCAAAATTTTATGTAACCTGGATTATAAAAGGGAAATGTTAATTAAGGGTGTGGAAAAATACCAGGGAACCAGCACGAAAAGTGCTGCTTCTTTATTTCAGCGTTAAATTGCCTCAAGACTTAGAAAACAAGGAACTCTTTTTAAGCTTCCAGTCTGTTCCTTAACCTGCTTTAAAACGATCTAATTTTCCTCTCTTCTTCTTTTTTTTCTCTTCACGGCAGAATTAACATTTCCCTAATTTTGATGCTTGTGCCTCGAAAAAGAATGGTGGGGCCGGCCCACAAAAGAAGTGCAGGAAGTCCTTGACGTACGACCACAAGGGAGCCCAACGTTTTTGTTGCTAAGTGAGACAATGAATTTGTCTCAGTGAATTTTGCCTCATTTTACCATCTTTCTTCTCACAATTGTTGAGCGAATCGCTGCGGTTGTTAAGCTAGCCACATGGTGGTTAAGGGAATGTGGTTCCTCCATTGATTTTGCTTGTCAGGTCACATGACCCCAGGACACAGCAACCGTCTTAAGTACATGCCAGTTGCCAAGCGTCTGAATGTTGATCAGGTGACCGTGAGGATGCTGCAACGGCCGTTAAGTCTGGAAAAGGTTCATAAGTCACTTTTTTTCACTTTGAACGGTCACTAAATGAACTGTCGTAAGTCGAGGAAGTCCTCAACATACGACAGTTCATTTAGTGACCGTTGGAAGTTACAACCGCACTGAAAAAAGTGACTTAGGACCGTTTTTCACACTTAGGACTTTTGTAGCAGCCCCATGATATTGGGATCAAAATTCAGAGGCTTGGCAAGTGACTCATATTTACGACGGTTGCAGTGCGAACGTCTGACCAGCAAAGTCAATGGGGAGACCAGATTCATTTAACAACCGTGCTACTAACTTAACACCTGCAGTGATTCACTTAACAAGCTTGGCAGGAAAGGTCTTAAAATGGAGCAAAACTCATTTACAAATGTCTCCCTTAACGACAGAAATTTTGGGCTCGATTGTGGCCGTTAAGTCGAGGACTACCTGTATATGTATATTTTTTTCTGCTGCAAATCAAGGCCAAAATGAGTTCAATAATTATCCTCGGTAGGTTAACGTTTATCCTGCGTCAGCCCCAAAGAGGAGCCGAAAGACGCTCACTGGAACTCGGCACCTACCCCAGGTGTCTTCTGCAGGAGCGTGTGGTGCACTGTGCTAGGCCTGCTGGCCACATCAATGGGATTCGAAGTCTAGAAGGACAAAAATGAAAATGTCATTGAGTTTTCCTTTCCAGCAACGCTTCGACGCGATGCTAGCAAACAGGAAGGAACTAAGATGATCCAAGGCCTGGAGACTCAAACATCTGAAGAACGGCTGCGGGACTGGGTTTGGTTAGTCTAAAGAAAAGAAGAAACAGGGGAGACATGATATCAGTCTTCCAGTATTTGAGGGGCTGCCACAAAGAAGAGGGGGGGGGGGTCACCTTATTCACCAAAGTACCAGGGCAGGACAAGAAACAATGGTTGGAAACTGAGCAAAGAGAGAAGCAACTTGGAATAAGGAGAAACTTCCTAACAGTGAGGACAATCAACCAGTGGAACAGCTTGCCACCAGAAATCGTGGGCGCTCCACCACTGGAGGTTTTTAAGAAGAGGCTAGACATTCACTTGTCTGAGATGGTATGGTCCTCCTGCTTGAGCAAGGGGCTGGACTAGAAGACTTCCAAGGTCCCTTCCAGCTCTACTTTATTCTATTTAGATGACCCTGAGCAATATTTTGAGTTGTCGCGCAACATATCGGAGCTTTTTTTCCCATTGCCGGCAATGGGGTGGGCGCGGTTTCCCGGTGACGCATCCGGCCTGGGGGCCAGCAGTTTGACACCCCCTGTAGTAGGTTATAACAACCGAAGCTTGAAAATTTATCTGAATTTCCTTTTGTCTTTTCTTATACAAACAGAATTCCCTTTGTCTGTTCTTCTACAAATGGAATCCAAGTGTGATTATTTTACCTACCTACTTACCTACCTACCTACTTTTCCTTCTTTCTTTTTCTCTTCCTTCCTCCCCTCCCATTGTCCTTCCTTCCTTCCTTCCTTCCTTCCTTCACTCACCCAGCCTGAATATGGTGGGTGGGGAATTCTGGGAGGTGAAGTCCACAGATCTTAAGTTTGCCAAGATTGAGAAACACTGTTCTAGGCTGTGCGAACTAAGGTCCATGTCTTGATGGCTCCTTTCTTCTTTCTTTCTTTCTTTCTTTCTTTCTTTCTTTCTTTCTTTCTTTCTTTCTTTCTTTCTTTCTTTTCTTTCTCTTTCTTCCTTCCTTCCTTCCTTCCTTCCTTCCTTTCTTTCTTTCTTTCTTTCTTTCTTTCTTTCTTTCTTTCTTTCTTTCTTTCTTTCTTCCTTCCTTCCTTCCTTCCTTCCTTCCTTCTTCCTTCCTTCCTTCCTTCCTTTCCTCCATCCAGGCTACCTCAACAACCTTCCCCTTCCTATGTGGCATTGTTGAATGATTGCAACGGTCAACCCAAGTCCTTCCAGTTTTGCCTCTGGAGCCAGTAATCCCTGGAATCCAGTGCCAGCTTTTTTTTTTTTTTGAATGGAACTAGAACTCGGAGACAGCCACTCACTCTTCCTTGCCCTGGCCCAGCACCTGTTTCCCTCCCAAGAGGAGAGCAGTTCAGTTTCCCTAGATGTTAAAGCTGCAAGACAAACCAAAACACAGCCCCGTGTTTTCAAAGAGGAAGCCTTCTGGAGTGGCCCCGTCACAGGTCAACCACGAGGGACCAAGGATGGTGTTTAAAAATTGGCAGGCTGGGGGAGAAGGGCTGGATGAAGTCTCCCAAGCCGTGGGAGTGGTAGACCTTCCGCCTCCATCACGCCCTGATCAGACCTCCTCCTTTTCCAAATGTGACGGAGAGGGAGGCAAAACATAACAGCTGCGATGATGCATTTTAAGGTCACGTTACATTAAGCGTGTGAAGGATCTCCGTGCCCCCCCCCTGTCTTCTGTTTCCCCCCCTTCCTCCCTCCCTCCCTCCCCCCAAGACAGATGGGAAAGCTTCCTTGGGCATAGCAAATTGAATCCTGTTGACCTTTCCCGAGTTCTTAGCTCATGAGAAAGGGCCGTTGGGAAAGCAATTCAGAGGTCTGCCGTCAGGCTGGGATCAGGAGGCAAGGATTTGAGCGACGAGAGAGGCCTTGGGGACGGGACACCAAAGGCAGGAAAATAAAAACAAACTCTTTTGTTTCGGAAGGGCAAGGGGAGAGAGAATTCATTACACCCTCGCCTCCTCTTTCCCCCCCCCACACTCCATCAGCACCGCAGCGCCCCCCCTCCCCTTCCCCGGACATGTCTGTCAGGATGATCTAGAGCTTAAGTCACGGTCCGCCGGGGGAGGAAAGAGGAAAGAGTTTGAGCCTTAAGAAAGGTTAAAATGATTTGTGCGGAGTTTGGTTCTGCTCGGAAGATTTGCGTTCTGTCTCTCTTCCAAGGAGATTAATCACGATCTCTCTCTCTCTCGCGCGCGCTCTCTCTCTCTCGCAGCAAGTGAAAGATAATTTAGGTGCGGCCTTTTTCTCCCACTTCTGCCAAATATAGCAAAAAAGAAAAAAAAAAGCTCCGTGAAGGAGGATGGGAATTCTCAGGGCAGAAGATTCATGGGTAGTTACAAACCCGTGATGTATCTTCCACACATGCTGAATAGAAGGGGGGGGGGGAGAGAGAGAGAGAAGAAGGATCCACGATGGAGTTTCACACATTTGGGCTTAGAAAAGGTCTGTCTGGGTAGTCGCCGAGAACCGAAGTGGAATCGTGTTGGCGTAAAATAATTCCTAATCAACTGGGCTGTTTGGGGCCAAAGCACCCTGGCCATTGGTTAAGTAAGCCCTGATTTACTCACTGGGCTGGGGCTCCACAATAAACCAGGGTGAGCAGATTGTGACATGGGGGTTGTGTGAAACCAGCTTGGATTGATGGGCCGGTTGCAATCCTACACGGGCTTCAAGAAGATTTCAGCTGAGTGAGACTTTCTTTGGCTGACACTGGAATGCATCGAAGCTGGTCTTCGGTCCTGTATTATTTTTTTTCTTTTATCTCTTATAATAATAATAATAATAATAATAATAATAATAATAATAGTAGTAGTAGTAGTAGTAGTAGTAGTAGTAGTAAAGTTGGAAGGGACCTTGGAGGTCATCTAGTCCAACCCCCTGCTCAGGCAGGAAACCCTATACCATTTCGGACAAATGGCTGTCCAGTCTCTTCTTAAAAACTTCCAGTGTTGGAGCATTCACCGCTTCTGGAGGCAGGTTGTTCCACTGGCTAATTGTTCTCACTGTCAGGAAGTTTCTCCTTAGTTCTAGATTTTCTTAATTTTGATTTATATTTTTTCATGTACTTTTATTCATGCAATTTTTCAATACAATGGAAAATCTATATCTATCTATCTAACTATCTATACCTATCAATCATCTCTCTCTCTCTCTCAGCTATCTATATCTATCAATCATCTATATCTATCAGCTATCTATCTATCTATCTATCTATCTATCTATCTATCTATCTATCTATCTATCTATCTATCTATCTATCTATCTATCATGTCTATCATCTCTCTCTCTCATTTCTCTCTCTCTCTTTTTATCTATCACCCATCCATCCATCTTGGATCTAAGAAGATCCAAAGCCATTTCTTGGTATATTTTTCTTTCTTGTGCTTTTAGTTTTTTCTATGGTCTTCCCTGCAAGAACCATCTTTCTGCCTCTTCAATAAATTGTAACCTTCTTCCCAAAGCAGTCGCCATGTTGCTTATTTATTCCCGGCTTGGATGAACCAGGATGAAGACTTTACTTCCAACAGTTTATTTGTTTTTGTTTTTTCCTTCCTTACTTTATGTTTGTTTTCATTAGCTTTTACTTTTGGTTTAAAAACATTGAATAAACTTATTAAGGAGAGGGAGGGAGGAGAGAGAGAGAGAGAGAGAGAGAGAGAGAGAGAGAGAGAGAGAGAGAGAGAGAGAGAGAGAGAGAGAGAGAAGGGTTAATGGGAAACAGGCTGCTGTTAACCGATCAATTTCACAGATGGCCTCGTGTTTTTGGTTGGTTTCACTGCAGCCATTAATTTGATGGCTGACTGGAGAACTGCCTTAGGCCCCTTGCCCTGGAAAAACCATAGGCCCATTAAGACTCTGGCCACATGCCTTCAGAATCTACTTCCTGCATCCTTCTCCTCCTTTCTTATCCTACCATCTTCTTCTCATCTTCCTTCTTTCTCCTCCCTTTCCCTCTCCCTCTCTTCCTTCCATCCTCCTTCTCTTTCCTTCTCTGTCTCTGGTCCTTCTCCTCCATTATGACAAAACCTCCCTCTCTTCCTCCTCACCTTCCTTTTCTCCTTCTCCTTCTCCTTCTCTTCCTCTTCTTCCCCATTATAGCAATTGCCATAGCCCTTAGACTTATATACCGCTTCACAGTGCTTTACAGCCCTCTCTAAGCGGTTTACAGAGTCAGCATATTTGCCCCCAACAATCTGGGTCCTCATTTTACCGACCTTGGAAGGACGGAAGGCTGAGTCAACCTTGAGCCGGTCAGGATCGAACTCCTGGCTGTGGGCAGAATTAGCCTGCAATGCTGCATTCTAACCTCTGTGCCACCATGGCTCTTATGAAAAAACCCTCTTTTTTCTTCTCCTCTTCCTCCTCATTCTCCCTTATTAAAAAAAAATATCAATTCATCTTCTTCTCCTTTTTCCTCCTCCTATAACAGATTTGTTGGACTCGGGCTTAACATGGCAAGGAAATGCACTCTTTTCGTTTGGCAATGTGTGCAAACCGGGTCACTAGAGCTTGTTAAAAAGAAAAACAAGGATAAAACAAACCCCGTCTCCATGTTATGAACAAAAACACACCCGTCAACAGCCCAGGGCAACCACAGGCTCAGAGACGCCCCTTCTGAAAATAAAGCTGGATTCAGGAAAAAGACAGGTGTGCATTTTTTTTTTAACAAGCATTTTAAGGACATGCCAGTCCAAAACCTGCCCTGATTTGTTTGGAAAAAGAACACAAAAAATAAATAAATAAAAGCAGCGGGACCAGCAATCCCAGTCAACATTTACCTTGGGTTGAAAAGCTCCTTGGAGGGATCCGAAAGGGCCTGGGTGGGGGAGCATGGAAGGCATTCCTGGCACATTTGGGGGGTAACTTGGAAAGAACTGAGGGGAGAGGAAAAAAAAGACAGAGAGAATTTGCATTACAGATGGATCATCAAGGAAAGGCGACGTATCTGGCGCAACTTTTAATTTTGGGGAAGGGATAAACGAAACCGGCACCAAAAGGCAAGAATTCAAAGGCATTTTTTTCTCGTTATCTCCTAGAGTCCACTTTTCAACAAATTAAAACATAAAGTAGTATCTATAGCAAGATGCTCTCTCCTAAATCTGGGCCAGGCTCTCTTTCTCTCTCAGCCCAACTGACCTCACAGGGCTGTTAGGAGGAGGAGGAGGAGGAGGAGGAGGAGGAGGAGGAGGAGGAAGGAGAATTATGAATGTCTGTTGCCTTGAGTTACTTATAAAGTAATAAAGGCAGGATAATATATTATAGCCGGCTTTAAGATCAAGTGGCCAGCTCTGAAGGAATAGAGCTATGTGATCTCTCCTTCCTTCCTTCCTTCCTTCCTTCCTTCCTTCCTTCCTTCCTTCCTTCCTTCCTTCCTTCCTTCCTTCCTTCTCTCCATTGTTCCTCCCTCCCTCCCAATTTCTTCCGAAGCAGCAGTTCTGTACCACTGCTGGATGCTTCTTTGACACAGACCAAAATCACTTCACTTGATCGCCTTTCTCCTGTGGTTGACCCTCACAAGCTTTGTGTAGAACAACCCCTTTTAATCTGCAGCCACCCTCCCACTTACAGGGCCCAGCCAAGAAGCCCACTCTCTTACCCCAACCCCATCTTGCTTCCTTCAAGACTGTGGTTGATGCAGCCAGCGGAGAAGACCAACTGATAGAAAACAAGGAAGGCAAGATGTTCTATCTATGCTTCCTTTTCTGTTCTATCTATGCTTCCTTTCCAGAGGTTAAAAGAGCTGGAGGCAGGTCTGTTTTTAAGAACTTTCTCAGCCAAGTTCTCTGCAAGCCAGAACTGTCTAGGACAGTGGCCCCCCAACTTTTTGGGCACCAGGAACCAGTTCCGTGGAGAGTGTTTTCCATGGACCGGAGAAGGCATGGTTTCACATGCTGCCTGCATCCCGCGGAGGGAGCTTTGCTTGTTTGCGCGGCCCAAATAAGCCGACTGGTGGCGGTCCATGGACCGGGACCCCTGGTCAAGGGTCTCCTGCTTGTGCAGGGGGTTGGACTAGAAGACCTCCAAAGTCTCCTTCCAACTCTGTTATTCTAGGTTCTATAATTATCTGGGTACATTAGCGTAACTGATGATAAGTTTGGGTGCTCCATCACTGGAGGTTTCCAAGATGAGGCAGGACAACCATTTGTCCAGAATAGACAGGGTCTCCTGCTTGTGCAGGGGGTTGGACTAGAAGACCTCGAAGGTTCTCTTCCAGCTCTTGTTATTCTGCAGTTCTGTTAAGCCAGCTTCTTTCGTGCGGTTGTAAAAAAAAGGAATATCCTTGAGTTAAGCTCTTGGAGATGACACTGTGCAGTTTTATTGGCAGTGAAACTGAAGTATTTTGACACTGCCTTCCTGTGTGATGTGTTGTTGTTTTTTTTCACCCTCCAAGGTTAGTCTACTACAGCCTTGAGCTTCCCTGCAGAGGAAGTCTCCTGTTCAAGGATGATCTGTGGCCAATTCCAGAATCATCCAAGGTTGTCTAGGCGTTGCCATCTACAAAAGCCATCCAAATAAAGTAACAGAAATAAAACAGTGTCGGAGCTGTAATAGTCAGCCCTCTCCAGCCAAACCAGTGTCCTTGAGTTTAATAATAACAATAATAGAAAATCACCGAAGATTAGACCAATTACTAGAAAGAAAATATACTTCTCAGGGGAAAAAAAAATAGCCATTTGAGATGAATGTCTTTCTGAAGGCTTGCAATGATGGCTGTAAAGACCCTCTCTACTCACCGAGTTAATTAACCTTAAAATATAGATAATTCTTCAAAAGCACGTCTAAAATCCTTAGGGCAGAGGGGCTCACCACAAAAAAACAGACACCTCCAGACCTGTTCCCAAATTCTGGTTTTTGTTTTTGTTTTTCCAAGCCACGGAAGGCAGAAATGATTAAACGGACAATTCAAAGAGTGTAATTGCGTTAAGTTGATTTCGTTTTAACGGAATGTAGATGTTAAGGGCATTTATGTTGGTGTCCCTTGTTCCATTCATGGGCTGTGTTTTTTTGTGTGTCACGGCAAAGCCAAGGGGGAATTTGGGCCTGCATTGTGCACGATGGGTTTTTCAAGCTTGCAAAGTCTAACGGATTCCTCAAAAGTAGGGTGTCATTCCCCCCCCCACCTCCCCAAAATGTAAATGGACTTTCCTGGTGTTTTCTTGGGAAATGATTCGCTTCTCATCCCCTTCCGTTCTAACTGAACGATGGGGAAACGGACCCATGGTGTTTTTCAGTTAGCACTAAAGAAGCTTCTTGGATGAAAAGTTCCATAAAACTTTGCAGTAACTCACGAGAGGGAAACATTGCTTTAAAAAAAAACAAAACAACGCAGAGTGGAAAAATCTGGACATCATTTATGAAAAAGTGACATTTCCCCACGTTTATTTATGAAGAAAGCCTACTAGAGGCTCAAATTTGGCAAGCGTTCTGCAGTTTTTATACCATTTTTCCCCCTGCATTTGTCTCTAACACATTGTTCTCATCTTGATTAACTATCTCTCTGCTTTATATAACACTGCTTTTGGCTCACAGTTCCCTTAATCCCAAATATGTAGGTCTTTGAGTTCCGGTCTGATAGCCATTGAATTGATTATGGTCATGAGCTTGCCTTCTGGACTCAGTATGGAAAATCAGATGCCAAGTCACAGGATATTAACCTTTCTTGATTTGCTATTTTTGGGGGGAAATTCTGGATGAGCCCCAATTTGAAGTCTGGAGTGCTCTAGAGAAAGAGAGATGACTTGGCTGAGCTAAAAGTCTCTGAGTAAAAAAAAAAAAAACCAAACGCATCAGAGATTAGATCCGAAAAAGAACCTAATTTAATCAGAGGCCAAGCAGAATGAATTGGGAACGTCCGAGATAAAAATAAAATAAAATAAAATAAAAAACTGCTTCAAGAATGAAAATAATTGGGTTGTTGTTGTTTTTTTAAAAATAAATTATCCTTTTCTTCATCCTGAATAAAACCCGTGCAGCTGAAGCTTGTTGCATGAAAAACAGGTAAGGGAAAGAAAAAAAAGTCAAATAGGGAACAAACTCTACACTTTTTAAGAAGGTTAAGAACGAAAGGTGCTTACGTTGGAATGGCGGAAGTAAGGGTTGTCCAGCTTGGGAGCGTACTTGTCGAACTAGGAAAAAAAAACAGAAAATCAGAGAAGTTGGTTAGTTTTGTATAAACCTGGGAATGCAACTGAAGTATCACCAAACACAGGATGGTTTGGGGCAGTTCATAGACATGGTGGAGGTGGGTTGCTTTTACTGGGAGTTATGACAATTGCACCCAAAATTTATGTTGCTAAGTGAAACGTGTGCTAAGTGAGTTGTCCCCCCGCCATTTTACCACCTTCCTTGCCACAGTCCCTGCACTTGTGAAGTTAGCAACACGGTGGTTAGCCGAATCTGACTTCCCTACTGACTTTGCTTGTCAGAAGTTCGCAAAAAGGGGATCACCTGACCTCAAGACACGGCAACCGTCCCAAATGTGAGTCGGTTGAAAGAGCGTCTGAATTCTGATCACGTGACCGTGGGGATGCTGCAATGGCCGCAAGGGTGAAAAACGGTCGTAAGTCACTTTTTTCGGTGCCCTTGTGACGGTCACTCAATGTGTAAGCCGAGGGCTGTCTTGTGTTTCGCTTAGCATTTTAAAGAGGCTCCTTTTAGTAAAGCACACGGCTTCCGTCCTGATGGAGAAAATCAGTGGGGTAGGGTGGTGAAGGTATTGGACTAGGAGGGGGGAGACTCAGGTCTTGTCCCCCCCCCACCCAGATTCAAGTCTCCCCCTTCAACTGGAAGCTTGCTGGGGGACTCTGGGACAGGCACTCAGTCAACAGCCCATAGTACTATAAGATAAGATCACCTTTATTGTCATTTTTTTTTTACTGCGGGCACACTGGCCCACATTAAAAATGAAATTCTATAGAATAGAATAGAATAGAATAGAATAGAATAGAATAGAATAGAATAGGAGCTGGAAGGGACCTTGGAGGTCTTCTAGTCCAGCCCCCTGCTCAAGCAGGACACCCCATACCAGGGGTAGGCAACCTTGGCTCTTTTATGACTCGTGGACTTCAACTCCCAGAATTCCTGAGCCAGCATGGCTCAGCTTGGAAACCTCTCCCTTTCCCCTCAGCATGGCTGGCTCAGGAATTCTGGGAGTTGAAGTCCACGAGTCATAAAAGAGCCAAGGTTGCCTACCCCTGGCCTATACCATTTCAGACAAGTGACTGTCCAGTCTCTTCTTAAAAACCTCCAGTGATGGAGCGCCCACGATTTCTGGTGGCAAGCTGTTCCACTGNTTCTCTCTTTGATCAGAAGGTTGCAAAAATCAGAGTTTTTGTGCCTGCCGACCCATGGCGGATCTTCACCTCTCTTTATTTTTAGTCTGTGATCCAATCTCCCGCCACGCTGCCTTTGACCCAAACACCCTCCGCTCCTATTAGTATTCCGACCACGTCCTAAGGACAATTAACCCTCAAGCAGGCAGAGGTCCTACCACGGGAAGAAAGGGAAGGGGGGGTCTCCTTAAAATGCCTCCCCTCCCCCAGCCAAATTGTCACGCTCCCTTGTGCGTCCTTTCCCCGCCGTGCGGGAGAGCAGAATTTGCAATTGTGTTAATTACAGTGATTACCGGAGTCATGTACCCTCCAGTGTAAATACCCAGAAATTACTAAAACACATTGCAGCTGGTGATTTATTTTTTTTCCCCCGCCCTGCCACCCGTTCCGGCGTTTTGGATTTAAGAAAACCCGTTGAGTGGAAGATCAGAAAAGGGGAGATCAGACACCGCGTGGAAAGATGGGGCAAAATTGTCTGGGTGTATGTGGTTGTTTTTCTTTTTAACGCTCTTCGCCCGATATTAGCAGGGCGTGGCTTGTACAGAGGGATATCAGTTAAGGGACTTCTTAAAAATCTCCAGGCTGGGCCATCTTTCAAGCAAAAATGCCGAGCTTGTTGTGATGATGATGATGATGATGATGATGATGATGATGAGGAGGAGGAGGAGGAGGAGGAGGAGGAGGAGGAGGAGGAAAGAAAAATGGCCCTTGGGCGACGTTCAAAACACCTGAAGGCACTCTAAGGGTTGGTGAAGCTCTTCTTTATTCTTGGGTTAAGCGGATTAGTGCCGCCAAAGGGATGACAACGTGTCATTTCCCATGGGTTGGCTCTCCCTCCCCCCCAAATGGAGGAGGCTGGAAACAAAACAAAATAAAATACGGAGAGTTGCAAAAGTTGAACCCTGTTTGAGATTGCAACTGCTGTTGGGAAGAGATGATGAGCCCGCATTTATTTAGTTACAGGGCGTCCCCCATTAATGACCACCACGGAGCGCCACATTTCTGTTGCTTAAGCGAGACAGTGAGTTTTGCCCCATTTTGCAGGGAACAAATGAAGAGGACGTGTGTGTGTGTGTGTGTGTGTGTGTGATATGATATGATATGATAGCAGTCTTCCAGTATTTGAGGGGCTGTCACAGAGAAGAGGCGGTTGACCAATTCTCCAAAGCACTTGAAGGCAGGACAAGACGTAACGGCTGGAAGGTCATTAAAGAGAAATTCAACCTAGAATTAAGGAGAAATGTCCTGACAGTGAGAAGAATTAACCAGTGGAACGACTTTCCTCCAGAAATTATGGGTGCTCCCCCACAGGAGAACTTTAAGAAGGCATTGGATGGCCATCTGTCTGAAATGGCATGGGATCCCCTGCTTGAACAGGGGGTTGGACTAGAAGACCTCCAAGGTCCCTTCCCGCGCCTTGATTCTATGTTCTATAATTATCTGGGCAAATTAACATAGATTGTGATAAAATTGGGAGTGGCTGCTCCATCACTGGAGGTTTTTTTAAGACGGGGTTGGCCTACGCCATTTGTCCAAAATGGCATAGGATCTCCTGCTCGAACAGCGGGGTTGGACTAGATGACCTCCAAGGTTCCCTCCCAATTCTGGTCTTCTGTTATTCTGAGGCAGCTCCTCAAATACACAGCATGGCTGTGAAAGGAAAAAGCAAAAGCAAAAGCAAAAGGATGGGGAAGAGAGCTGCCTTCCCCTCTTTGCCCGCCACACCAAGTCAAAAGAGTTGCTGTGTCTCCAACCGACAATTTGGACCCATCCATAACGGGCTGTGACATTTTGAAGAAAGCAGGAAGCTGCTAGTGGGTGGGCAGCGGCAGGCTACCAAATCCGCACCACTCCCGCTAGCCGGCTTCTTTGGCAGGAAATGTTAAGACTCTCCCAAATACCTGAATTAGCCTTTCAGCCGTGCCTTAAACAAATATACTGCCATACAGCGTGGTCAGTGTTGAAAGTACAGATACTTATTGATGGGGGTCTAGGCTTCCTCAAGTCAAATGTTAACATTCAGGGGAGGGACAAAAAAAAATGTTCCCACCGCTACTGGGTGGTACCGACTTGGATAAGCAATGAAGGAAGCATATTTTCAGGGGCAGCTGAATTACGATGGCGGGATGAGAGGCCGGATGCAAAAGGAAGGTGGCTGTAGGTAACCTTTTGAGTTAAGAACATTTCAAGGGGTTGTGGGTTTTCCTGACGCGCAAGCACACTTTTCGCCATTAAGGGCCCTCTTGAGTTAGTTGTTCTGAGTCTCATGTTGCTTAGAACAAAAGGGGTGGAAGGGACCTTGGAGGTCTTCTAGTCTAACTCCCTGCTTGAGCAGGAGACTCTGTAACATCTAGACCAGGGATAGGCCACCGTGGCTCTTTTACGAGTCGTGGACTTCAACTCCCAGAATGCCTGAGCCAGCCACGCTGAGGGGAAAGGCAACCTCTGCCATGCTGGCTCAGGAATTCTGGGAGTTGAAGTCCACGAGTCATGAGGGGGCCATAGTTCCCCCATGCTGGCTCAGGAATTCTGGGAGTTGAAGTCCATGAGTCGTAAAAGAGCCACGGTGGCCTACCCCTGATCTAGACCAAAGGCTGTCCAATCTCTTTTTGAAAGCGTCCAGTGATGGAGCACTCACAACTTCTGGAGGCAAGCCGTTAATTGTTCTAACCACCGGGAAATTTCTCCTTATTTCTAAGTTGGTTCTCTCTTGGATTAATTTCCATCCGTTGCTTCTTGTCCTGCCTTCAGATGCTTTGGAGAACAGGTGGACCTCCTCTTCTCTGTGAGAGCCTCTCAAATATTGGAACACTACCGTACTATCATGTCCCTCTTAGTCCTTCTTTTCATTAGATTAGACATATCTAAATGCCCAGGTCTGTCTTAGTAGAAAGCCTGAGTCCAATCTCCCCCTCCCGCCCCCAAACAGAAAAAAATAAAGGCAACACTAAGAAACAGCAGCAGCAAATTACCCCACATTTGTTTGCGGTGAAAAGCGGCAATCGCAACCATGTCTTAAAAGCAAGGCATCTTTTGGATTAGCAGAAGAAGAACGGTTTGGGTCATCCTTCAGGGTCAACCAGAGGTGTTCCTACTTATCCACAGGTTTGGGGAAGGGGTACGCACTAGGGGAGGTGCAGAGTGCGGCATCTGGGGCAGGCTGGATGGGAAAGGAGTGATTGTGTGCTGATGGGTGTGTTGGTGAGAGTGTTGGTGCTGGTGGAACTCCGCCCTCAGCATCGGCACCAGACCGAGCGAGCCTCCAGTCCTGTCCGCACTCTGAATCAAAAACCGATTGTTCAGTTCTTGTCTAAGCAGTTCGTGATCTAGAAGAGCAGGGAGAAGGAGGGGGGGGGGAGAGAGAGAGAGAGAGAGAGAGAGAGAGAGAGAGAGAGAGAGAGAGAGAGAGAGAGAGAGAGA